AGCTGAATTTTAAATGTCAATTCAAATAAGTAAATTATGTTCGCAAAGCTTAATTACCAAAATTATTTGTGAGGTGAGCTCAATGCAAAAACTATCCCTTATGAAAGTAAAAAGTTTGCTCCATTTCCATAGAAGTATATATCACAAATACATCTAAATATGAATTCGTAAAGGCTTCGCCTACTTCGCATTAACATAATTAATGCCATTTTCGTGAATTAATGAACGCTGCATAGACAGGAACAATTTTGATTGTACAAAATATTTATCAATTATCGCTCAGCATTTTTGCTACCGAATAGTCAGTTTTTTAATATGATTTCGCTTTTCCCTACAGACTATTTCACCACTGCAAAACACAATATCGAACATCAGCTTCAAGTGTGATGTTTGTTCGGAGATGTTTCAGCACCTGGCGCTGCTTAATGCTCACAAGCGGATGCACACCGACGGCACGGATCCGCAACAGCACAATTCACAGCAGTCATCAGATGCCATAGCAGTGGTCAATGCACAGGGTCTGGTGCAGACGCAGAACATAATCACCGGCAATGGGCAGATGGGTCAGATTCAAATTGTTGCTTCCGATACGCTGGAGCCAGTGCAGCAATCCGTAATGCAGCAACAGCAGCAGCAGCAACAACAGCAGGCGGCACAGCAACAACAACAACAGCAGCAACAGCAACATGATAACTCCAAGTCGAGCAAGTGCATTAATTGCGGCAATCCCATACTGCATCAGTCAAAGCGTAAGGGGCCTAAGCAGGTGCGCTGCGAGTCCTGCATGCAGGCGGAGCAAGCGGCGCAACAGCAACAAATTTTTGTAGCACCCGATGGTAATTGCTTATATACACTTATTTTGATAATAATTTATTAACCCGGTGCTTATCTCTTTTAATAGGACAAATGGCGCATCCTGTGCAAATCATATCTACCACACCACAAGCCCAGGCTCAACTTCAGCAAATTGTGGCCCAACAAACTGGCGGCACAACGCCCAAGCGTGAGCCCAGCTCGTCGGGCCATCATCCTGTGAAAAAGCGCAACACCCAACAGATGACCAAGTGTCAAAAGTGCAATGGATCCGGCGTAGTACTCATGGGTCAACAGCACACACACCAGCATGGTGGCGCCGGCGGCTCGGTCAAACAAAATACCGTAACCGTCAAGACCGAGTAAGTTACCAATAAAAAAAAAAAAAAGCCGCGAACCGGGAAATCTTTTCGAACTTTTATTTATCAATTTATTTATTTATAGAAATCCCAGTAAACCGTTCAGCTGTAACATATGCGGCGGCCTCTTTTCACGCTACTCCAGCCTGTGGTCACACAAGAAGCTGCACAGCGGCGAGAAAAACTACAAGTGCACCATCTGCGGATTGGCATTTGCCAAGGCTGTCTACCTAAAAAATCATGCGCGCATACACACTGGCGAAAAGCCTTATAAGTAGGTGTATCAACTGGTATCCACGCTTTCCTATTAATAATTGTATACTTGTGCAGATGTCAAACGTGTGGCATGCAATTTTCACAATCGCCGCATCTGAAGAACCACGAGCGGACGCACAGCGGCGAACGTCCATATGTTTGCGGGGTGTGCGATAAGGGATTTGCGCGCCATGCCACCCTGTGGAACCATCGCCGCATACACACCGGCGAGAAGCCGTACAAGTGTGAAATATGCGGTTCGGCTTTTTCACAGGCGGCACATCTGAAGAACCACGCCAAGGTGCACTCCGGCGAGAAGCCTTACAAGTGTGAGATATGCTCGGCAGCGTTTGCCGATCGTTTTGCGCTGAAACGCCATCGTGGTATACATCAGAAGTATGGACAAACGGCGCCCAGACAGCCTGCCGGTGATGGTATGGTCGTGCACAAACAAGAGCTGCCCGATATGGATGACGATGCTCAGCAGGAGGTCATAATCGGTGGTTTATAGATAAGAGCAACCAATGCCAATGCCAAGGCGACCAGTACAGCAACGACTACGGCAGCGGCGGTAGCCTATCAATCGGGAAGGGGAGCAAGACAGGAAACGGGCGGAATCACAGGCACATTTCCAGCGCAGCCCTATTCAGGCTACTACTATCAAGAGCAACAACGACAGGAAGACCAGCCCCAGCAGAGCGCCGCCTTTAGTGCTAGATCAGACTATTGAGCTGGCGCCTGTACATAAATCATAGCGACAGAGGAGCATCGTCATCATCACCATTATCAGCTAGGCACCATTAATGTTACATATTATGATCATTATTTTTTTTTTTAATATCGTAGTTCATGTAGGGCTCTATTAATTGGGCATGGGGCACTCGAAGGGGTGCCGCCAAAAACGCTTTTTTACGTTAAACTAACAAAACGAATCGAACCTAATTTATTCATAGATTGTAACATAGATACGGCGCAATATGTGGTACATTTAAGTGTTATAGTCTATTTCCGTATACAAATTGTAGTTGTAATTTACACGGATTTATAAGCGAGGGGCGCGTTAACCGCATGAACAGCAAATACGTAAGAATCTACGCAGGCATGTATCATATACATAATATACATCGGCATCGATCGGCAAATGTATATGTATATATATGGGTAGTACATTAATTCGTTTATAAACAATACTAGCGATAAGAAGATAAAAAACAAACATTTTAAATACAATTTATGTAAATCTAAATAAGTATTACACAAAACAATTATAACTTTAATAAATAAATCATATTTGAATAATTTAAAACTTGTTCCTGATTGTAAAGCGTTACGCTTTGATATTGGCCATTGTTTTTAAGGGATTTATATAAAATACCGTCCAAAAATAGTTCAAAAACACAAAATGCTTCATAATTCGAAAGGTGCACGATGATTAAGATATCCTTTGGCCCAGCGACAGCCCTGTTTTAAGGGATTCGTTCTAACGCATGTTTGTAACGGGAAATATCTTATTGAATCGGCCGACTATGCTTGAAAAGAATACCTATTCTTAAACATAAGGACAAGCTTGATAAATCGGCAAAAGGAAACCAAAATCATTTCTCAAATAGCTGCTAATGTCGTTTTTGTGTTTTGTTTGATTTTTGAGTATTCATGAGCTGTGGTGATACTTCTTAAGAGAGTGTGGACCATTGACAGGGCTGACCTGAAATATGACAGACACTATGTGCATTTTGAGCAACATAAAAAAAAAATTGCGAACCATCGTGAAAATTTAACAAAAAAAATATCGTATCTATTAGGTTTTGTTATTATTATTATTATTGGGTTTTGTTGTCTGTCGCTGTGTTGGGTGGGTGGGGTGGTTGGGTTGGGATGGAATGTGCGGTTGTGAGTGTTACGGTAGAGTTGACAACTGTGTGATTTTATATGTGGTGTATATATTGAAGGAGAGAGAGACATATTTATTATCGCTGCTAAGTTCGAGAACACAACAACACCACACGAGCATGAGGATAATCTACTTACATATGAAATCACAACTAAACTAATTTAGCATGGTGTCTTATAAATAAGAGAAGAAGATGAGAAAGACTCCCAAATATAAGAGAGAGGAACTATATCATTACAGGGGGAAAGATTACAACATATAATATAAATGAAGATAAGGAAAAGTTAACACTTACATGGTGTGAGGCTCGATCCTTCCTTTGCAAGCTCTTGCCCAGCACGCATCCATCGAACCACCTATGGGTCTTACTAATCTAACGTTTAATTTTATATATATCGGATATTTTTCTTATATTTTTTTAAAAAAAACATTCAGCCGCCACACGAAATCGAACCCGAGTCCATCACAAGTTTCTAAGCTGATCATTACTTCTACCGCGACACCACCCACCACAATTAATACGAATTAAAAAAGGAAGGTACTTGAAGTAGTCGTTTCAGCACAAAATACTCAACTCTATTTTTATTAAATTCTTACCGCAGCCTGGACTCGAACCTCGAACCAAAAGTCTAGAGCAATACAGTCTAAGTAAGCTTGCAACAACGCTTCCCAATTATATTTTTATTTAATTGTTACCGCGCCTGTACTCGAACCTCGGACCCCAACCCCAGCTTACAATGCTCCCCCTTCTTCCTGAACTGTTGTCGCGGTCCGGGCGCGAACCTCGCACCGCAAGTCTCGATCAACGAACATCTCAAGAGTAATATAAAAATATAACATACATATATGAGTTTTATTTAATTTCAATAGTGTTTAATGCATGTTATTTATTGTTTTTCAAGTCCTTCCCACAAGTACTAAAAAACTTACAGAACTCATTATATTTTTGAGTACATTTTTGCAAAATTGTGATCATTCAAGCGCGTTCACTCGCATATATGAGTATATGTATGTATGTTATGTTGGTTGCATTTGTATTATTTACACAAAAATGTATAAACTGTGGTGTTTGTTAAGCAATTTGAACTAGCAAAGGTATGTGGGGAAGTTACAGATCTAAATATTTATTTTAGCTAAAAGCGAATTTTAAAATTGATTATTGGGCATTATTTTAGTTTTTGATTTTCAACTCTAGTATTTAGTACACAAAATTTACTAATGGGTATATTTAAGCTAACCTAGACTTGCATTTGACTTACACATAAATTAAAAACCTAATTTAAAAGGCTACGAAATGTTACGTTTTGGATGGGCAGAACAAATTCAACAAACTTTAAATAAGGCCATAGCAAACAATTTGCTTTTGTTACGTTTAACACATATAGAAGAAGATACAAGTATTTATATAGTTACTTAAGTAATTGTAGTTAGTTGTTTATATGTTTATGTTTTTATGATGTGTCAATGTGACTGCATTATAAAAAGTGAGGTTATGCATCGAGTTGCGCCGCAGCTTATATAGGAAATAGTTTTGTCTTGCTTAGTACCCAAAAAAAAAAAAACATATGTGGGTCCTTAGGCTATGTTGCTCGAGCTATTATAATTGTATAATATAATCGTCAAAGTGTTAGTTTCTGTCTCATTATTTGGAAGCTGCAGGATACATATGTATGTATGAAGGACTGAGGGTACTTGCAGTGAAATCCATTTCATTATGGATCCCACTGTGTTTGCCTTACCTTTCAGTTATACTATAGCGTGTAGCTTTCGCATGTGTCACTTGAAAACGCTGCCACTTGTAAGCTCAGAGATAATGTATGTTAGTAAAGCTTGACTTATTATCGTTAGTATTCAAAGTTAGAAGTTTGGTTTTTTTTGTTTTAGTCTTCCCTCCAAATTATAGTTTTCAATAATTTGAAGAGTTTCAGCAAGGTCTGTCCAGATAAAATTCTTGGTGTTCCATACAACGAGTGTTTTTTTTTTTTTGTGGGGGGAAGGGGGCGGGGCACTACTGATATAGCTAACTAGCTAACTAGCTTGTATTAACAGAAGACAGAGCCGACTAACTAACATGAATATTTAGCGTACAGAACAATTGAAGCAACTTGTTAGAGAGACTTAAATATTAATCAAGAGCAAGATCTGGAAGCGGTCGAGTTGTTGCTGTTGCTCACATGCGCGTGCTCTCCAGGCCACAGCCCAGGGCATCGTTATATGCGTGCAGGGTATGCGGGGGCGTGGCAATGCCGCTGCTGCCACCACTACCGCTACGCCTCTGCCTGCTGCAGGTGCTGCTGCTGCTGGTGTTGCTTGTCGCCTTCAATCAACTCGCTGGTGTGGTGCGCGTGAGGAGCTCATCATCGTCCAGCTGGGCGAGGGCAGCCGGTGAGCCCACATCGATGGTGGTCACACGGTTCCCGCCACCATCCGCCGCCGATGGCAGTTTGATGAACTCGCTGTCCGTGTGCACGGGCATGATGATGCACACGAAGCTCTGGCCCGTCTGGGAGTCGCGCGGGTGCAGCGTAACCGGATTGAACTTGTCCGTCTGGCCGTCCGTGTAGGTCTGCAGGCGCTGATAGATCTCTGGATAGTGTTTGCGCAGCAGCACTCCGCGTCGTGAGAGTATGTCCAAAATGTTGGACAATATAAGCTCCCGATTGCCGGGCGCGGTTCGTAATCCCGGATTGAAGGTGAGTATGAGTATCTCGGTGCGCTCCGGCACGGCCATAACGGCGAGTGGCTGCTGTAGGGCTTGCTGCTGCAGCTCCAGCTCGGCGAGCACGGTCTTGCACAGCTTCAGCTTGGCGCAGCGTGAGACTAGCTGGCGCTCCCAGCGCACCGGTGCCTGACCCATGCCCGGTGCCTCGGAGACGACGCAAATGGCCACGTAAATGAGCATCTTGGACTCGGGCTTGTATTCAGTGCTTAGTTTCAGCAGCTCCGAGTAGAGTTCCAGACCCATTTCGGCCGGCATCAGATCTGGCCAGCGTACATAGGAGGCCTCGCCCATGCACTGAAATCCATGCTTAATGAAGCCTTCGGCGGCCTCGGCGCTACGGAAGAGCACACGGACCACGCCACGGCCCTGCGAGAGGCTGCCCTTGCGGGCCAACAGGCTGAGATGGCGCTGTGAGTCGACGTCATCCTTGCAGGTGGCTAACACCTGGCGGCACAGATTCGAGGCGCGCGAATGCAGGCAGGCCTTCCGATGCTTCTCCCAGTGGGCGCGCCTACACTCACGTGAACAATATAAATGGGTACAATTGTGGCATGACTTGTACAGCTTCTTGGCATCGGCGGGCGTGGCGCTGGCCTCGCACTTGGTGTTCCGACACCTGATCTGCAGCTGTTGCTCGCCGGCAGCTCCATAGCTGCCGCCATTGTTGATGCTGCTGCTGTTGCCCTTGTCCGCCGTGTTGGCGTGGCTGTTGGAGTCGCCCAGCGATACGCGCCGATTGCTGGCATTGCTCTGGCCCTGCGCCTGTGACTGTGATTGAGACTGGGTCTGCGACTGGCTCTGAGATTGGGTTTGGGTTTGGGTTTGTGTTTGGGATTGGGACTGTGACTGATTAAGCTGCTTCTGCTTCTGGCTGGGCGCGTCACCCTCGCTGCGTCGGCGCAGTAGCTGCTGCTCCGCTGCCGTCAGCACCTCTAGCTGCTGACAGCGACTAGCTGAATCTGCTGTGGAATATAAGTGCGTATAACAGATTAGTAAGCAAGCGCAAACTGCTAGGCCATATAACAAATAACAACAGCAACAACAATGAGCATTCAATGGGAGGGGGTTTTTCTGCTTGTCTAATAAAGGGCACTCGCATGCTGCGCTTTTATGGGGAGGAGTGTTTCAGTGTTGCAAAACGACGCAAGCGCAGCGCAACTTTGTTTTCATTTTTGTTTAAATATATATATATATGTATGTTATGTATTTTTCTCAGTGTAATTTCGAAAATAAGAAGGAAAGTAAAATGTCTAAGCTAGAACTAGATATGCGATTGATGAAAGAGTATTAAAAGTAATGAATTTATTTCAACAAAACTACAAAAAGATTAGGAATTTGAAAGGACTTTATAAAAATAAGATTTATCACTGAGTTGTAGATTAGAGCTGAGTTATAGATTAAATATTGTATATTGTTATATAGGAGTATATATAGAGCTTTATATGCGAACAACAAACAAGAACTGAAGTTTAGTTTTTGCCTATACCCATTTTTAATTTTATGTCTCTTTTGTTTTCATATCATTTTCAAAACATATTTTTGTTGTTATCTTATTGTTTTTTTTTTTTTTTTTTGTTTGGGTAGCGGTTATATTGGAACAAAAACTTACAGGTTCATACCTGTCGTCGAGGACCCGGGATTGGTCGCCGCTGCCGCTTGATTTCTGTTGTTGTTGTTGCTGTTGGTGTTGTGGCTGTTGGAGGAGGTAGCTGGCAGTCCTAAAAGTGAGGCTAAGACATCTTCTAGCGATGCGCTGCTCAGCGAACGTTCAGGCGCTTTAGATGCAATTTGTATTTTTTTTTTTGGTTTGTTTTTTTTTTCGTTGTGCCCAATTTTATATAGTAATTTTTAAATAATTTTTTTTTTGATAATAATGCACAGCACAAAATATAAGAATACAAAAACAAACAGTTGTTAGGCTTGAAAAAAAATGTTTAGCGCATTAAATGTTCTTATAACTAAATATTGGGGTATTACATAAATATGTTCGAACGAAGTGAATTTATTAGAATTATTTAAAAATTACACTGAGAAAATGTTTTATGTACACAAGCCTAAGGTGAGTATTAAGCACACTTAAAGAGCAATGGGTAGCTAATAAAATTCTACTCTCTATTTTAGCTAAAAACAAAACACAATGAGAAGTAAAAACAATTCACAAACTACAAAATTATAAACATTTTTTGTATAAAATATAGTTTAGTTTTTATTGTAGCCACCTTTAGCGAGGGCTGTGCCCGCTTTGTAGGCGTATATAAAGCACTTCGATGTCATATCTTCTTTTTTTTTATATAAATTATAATAATTTTTACAAAATTATATACCCAGACAAGTATGTGATCGAAATAGAAATCTCTTCGAATCGTTCGTTGCATTTAAATCATAATACATCATTGTATAAATATATAAAGAAATAAAATTTTTAGCACGCTATGTTGTTGAAAAAGTCTGTTTTATGTTTTGGGGTTAGGTACGTGAATTTTTCTAATTTTAAAAACCAAGCCTAAAATTGAAAATTCCAAATAACAAATTAATAATTGTGTTGTGTGTGTGTGTGTGAGAGTTTTGTGCAGAATTTAAAATGAGTTATGCCAATGAGAATCATAACAAACTTATGCGCAGATAAGTATGCTATGAACAATTGAATTGCATAAAATTATGTGACAAGGAGGGACGAGTACAATAATAATAGTAATAATCATAATAATCATAATAATTATAATGGGGATTATGACAATAATAATAATAATAATAATACAATAATAATTAACTGTATGCCATAGCTGTGTTTATTAAAAATTAATCGTTAAAATTAAATAGTAAATTTATTAAAATAAGTTTTGTAAACACTAAAAATTACTCATGTACGTTTGCATTTGATATGAAAAATCAAAAAGTTGGTCAATTTGAAAATGAATGCGTGTAAATGTTGTTCTCTCTATTAGCGGTTTCTCGTAATTTACAATCGTTAAAACAGAAGAGTAGCCTAAAATGCATTTGCACTTTGCACCTAGTGTATAAAATAATTAAATTTCTTTGTTACGATGAAAAACAAATGTAGAAAATTGCATTTCAAGCTACATTTGTGTGTGTGTGTTTGGATTTGGGTCGGGTTGTGTGCGTCTGGGAAATCATAAAGGTTTTAGCTACATATTAAAAATATGTACGCTCAGCTACCATGCATACATAAGTGTATGCATATTCATTTACGCATCTCTCATTGGTGATTTTTGTGCACATTACGAGACTAAATTGTGTTATCAATTTTTGTTGTTGAAAGTTAAAACAAATCAAAATGGATAAAAACTAGATAAAATCTAAGCCCGCCAGCTGTGGGGCCAGGTCAAATATAAATGGTGGACTCACCGCCACCGCCGCCGACCCGGCTAAGTCCGTTCATGCGTAGTGGCGGCTGTCCAACGGCTAGCGCCGCTGTTGCATCCAGGTGTAGCTGCTGGTGTTGGTATTGGTATTGGTATTGGTGTTGGGTTGCGGGCGGGCTGCTGCTGCTGTCAATGACGGGCGTTTGCGGTGAATCCAGCGGACGTGTGCCAACAAAGCTGCTCTCAAGCCAGCACTTTCTGTGGAAATTCGAAAGCACAGATTAGTCAACGTTCTTAAGCAAAGGGTAACGTAACAATAACAACAACAACAATAAACACCAGGCTAGTAAAATCAATAAGTGACGTCACAGCAGCTGTGTGACTCAACTGGACTCTGCACTTGTGGCAGTGGCAACATGGCACTAACCTCAGACAACTCTTTGCATATTGTTGGCCCACATTTAAATTGGGCTACACAAAAACTTGCAGCTTGCTTTGGTATTAACTATACTATACAATGCACTCACAATATTTATGTAATTAGTTTCACTTTCGATTTCTTATAAATATTTCAGTGCGCAGCGCTCTTTGCTGAGCGTCAGGCAGGCAGCAGACGTGGCACACGAATGAAACGTCGAATGGATGTGAACACACAGCAATGGCAAAGCCAAATTGTGGGATCGAGAGCATAAAAGAGGTGGCCATTTCCTTTTTGGGGGGGTTCGGGGTTCGTGTGTGTGCGAAAGAGATGCACGAGCCACATTGGCTGCTGTGTGGAGGGTTGCTGCGGCTATTTCACAAAGGGGGCGGGCTCGGGCGCCTGGCTGTCGCCCTGATTACAGACAAAACAGCCAATAACTTTTTGGAGTTTCCTAAGTAGCACACTTTGATGCTCTTCCTTAAGAGAAGGTCCCTTTCTTGGTTAATCTAATGGTAAAATAGCCGAAGCGTAAAATTGGCCTTTTCTATAAATATGCAATTTGAGCTCATGTGGATTTCAATTTTTCGAATAAAATATTTATCACTTGACATATTTTGGGAGCTTATTTCAGATCTTGAATGTGATTAGTTTTGGATAAAATGTATCACTCTTTAAAATATTCATCGATTTCTTGAAATATAAATCTCTTTGAACAAACGATTCCAATTCCTGCGCACGGACAATCTATATATTTTGAATAATTTTTTATTTTTTGGCATATGTAAGCTTTAAGCTGAGTAAACGGACCCCACTCGACCCGATAGATACACTACCAAAGTCTGCTCGGCTGTTTCATATAGATAGACAGCATTACCTCGTTGACCCATTTGGTAGGAAAATACAGCTTGGCATTGTAGCACCCTGTCTGTGAGTTGGTCTACTTTAATATTATTGATTTTCATAATGATTGCCACCTGCCAGCCTAGGGCCAAGTGGTCTCCACTTGAAACGTGGACAAGTAGCGCTCACTGATGGTGCCCAGGTATTGGGAGTATGAGCTGGGAGAATAGGTAGCCTAGAATAGGTAGCCCCACAATAGACAGGGACCGACAGCTGCATTGTTGACATATAAATTGCATGCGACGTTTGGGGCGAGGCCTCGATTTGCCTCGCCTCGAGCCTTATTAATAGGGACACGGGACAGTTTGCACTGACATCGCGCAGGCTGTCAGATTGAACATGAAAGCGAAATGGAAACAATTTCGATTTGAATGCCATTGTGCAAATATTGATAGTGTAAATCTCACATGATTTACGCTGATAATGCAAGTGATTCCGATTCTGTGATTGCCACAATGTGCAGCAGATAGATTGGGTCATTGTGTTGGGCAAATGTTATTAATATGTGGTAATAATAAAGGTTCACTATGATATCATATCGTATTAGCAATTATAACTGAACCCAACCGAGTTACGTAATATTTGTATTGAAGGACAAAGCAAAGTATAGTTATAGAGATGTGTGTGTTAAACAAATATTTACTACAGGTTGGTAAAAGACTAGGGATTGCTAAATGAAAATCTACTTTAAGAGAGTAGAGCAGAATTTACGTAGAATATGTCAACATTTCTTGTTTCAGGTGTTATTTATAAACAAAGAATTTAAATATTTAAAAGATTCAGTTTACATAAATAAAAGGTGTTATTGAAATCATATAAATTAACTGAAGAAAGTCGTATCTATGACAGCAAATATTCAGAATTTATGAGAATCTTTATATGTATACTAAAAGTCTGCTTCTTTTCATATTTGTCTAACAAATTATTTGGGTGTTGTTTTGACAAAAAAAATAAATACATGAATGCACTTCACAGAAGAAACAATTTCCCTTTCTAACCTAGCTCAATTTTATCTAGAGTTCTTCTGCAGAAATTCTAAACAACTGACATAAATTAAGCGCTTGCAAATATATTATTATATATTATACTCATGTAAGTAAACAAAAATTTAATTAAATATTCTATTGCTGAGTACTTGGCGAACTTTCAAACCGAAAATAGGGGCAGTAAGCATTAAAATTCCTCATAAATATAGATAAAGTCCTTAGCATCCTTTCGACTCTTTGCCAAGCACAAGAATTGACCTGACCCAATTGTGACTTTTGTGAAAATTGGCAAAAATCCAAGCACTTTTGTGCCCGTTCATGTTTTGAGGTGAAAAGTTTTTAGTTGTTTGTTGTTTTTTAGTGTTTTTAGTAGAAGCCAGCACAGATATAGAATTTTTGGTGTAAGTAACACATGTAGAATAGCACGAGAATTAGTCACGGGTTAGCCACATGAAGGAGAGACGCCGAGACGATGAGGATGACATTGCCCAAATATGGGGGATTTGGAGCCTGCTTACCTCTGGACATCGCTGAGGGCGTGGCAGTCAGCTAACCGACTGACTGACTGACCGAACCGAACTGACTCTGAGTGCTGCAGTTGGTGCTGCTGTGGTTGGACTTTTACAGGTAGCTACGCGTTGTGTAGTATTGCCGAAGAGAAATGAAAATGTTGTAGTGGTAGGAAATAATGAATAAATGAAGTGAGTTGTTGAAGTGTGTGTGTGGTATATAAAGATATGAACTGAGATTTTCATCGAACATATGATCAAACAGTTGGTAAGAACAGCTACACACAGATTGGATAGATAGGAAGGAGTGAGTAGGCGACTACTACGACAACTTGAACACTCTATAAATATTTTGTGTTTGGCTGCAACGGTTTGTTCTCTTATTCAATTTTGTTTGTTGCCCACGCGATCCGTTGCCTACCTCGAATTGGGACTCGTCGAGCGGCTGCGCTGCTGCAGGACCTGCGCCTGCGTCTGATCGTTCACATAATGCACTATGGCCGAGGTCACCTCCTTGATGGAGCTCTGTATCTCCGGCGTCACGGGCTGCAGCCTTCGCACACCGTTCGCCGGCGTTGCCGTTGTGGGCGATGTGCGTTGCGCCAGCAGCGAGTTGGCCAGGCTGAAATGGAAGAGGCAGCAGCATATTAGATATGGACTATTGGCAAACTCAGTTTGGCACTCACCGTTCGTGGGGCGTGCGCTGTGAGAGCTTCTCAGTGCTGCGCCAGCCCAAGTAGGGTTGGCGATAGGAGTTCCTCAGGACACCGCCGGGGGCGCCGGCGCTGCTGCCGCTGGCCACCGACATGAAGCTGCTGTTGATGGGCGCGCCGCGGGCAAAGCTGCCGCGCTGCGAGACGCTCGGCGACGTTTGCGTGGAGTTCAGATGCGAGGTGGACCAGCGTGTGGCGCCGACGCCCTGGCCATGGGCCTGATGATGTGCCGACGCTGAGCCGCTGACGCTGCTGCTCTGGCCGCCATGGTGACTGTGCGCCGAGGGACTCAACAGCAGGGGACTACGATCAGAGCGCTGCGAACCCAGCGAACTGAGCGAAGTCGTCTTCGAGTTAAGGCCCTGCCAGCGACCCGAATCCTGTGTGCGCTTGCGCGTAAAATTGCCCGGCTTATAGCCGCCAGAGGACGCTGGGCCAGCGTTGCCGGCACCGGCACCGGCGCCCGCGCCATCTGGCGACCGTGCTGCATTTTGATTGTATTGTCGGAACCAGTCGGGTATATTCAGGCGCTGCAGCGATGCCTGCACTCGCAATTGATGCTCGCTCAGAGCGGCCGGATTGTGATCGTGCGATTTCTGTAGCTCATTCTCAGGTGGCTGTATCAAATCGGAGAGAGAGAGAGGGAGAAATTGATTAGAAACTGATAGTTAAATTTTATATACTATAACTAATTTTAAACTAGCTAACACAAGACTTTTCTTTATCATATGGTAACTGGTTATTGAGACACAAACTTATTGGCGAGCCTTAAATGAACTATAAACTTGGAAACTAGTTCATTAGTTTCAAACTTCGTGTCTTATAATATTAATTGAAACTGTTCCAAAGAGATCCCAGTTCCAGGAGCTGTATTATAGAAATCAATATTCAAAGAAAAGAATCTATAAAACGTTAAACAAAATAAGATAATTAAAAGAACATTTAGATCAGTCTATGAACTAGTTCAAAATTCGTTAATTTAAATCTCAGTTTATGAACTAGTTGAAATTCGTTAATTTTTAACTCTAGACATGTTCACCATTTAATCAAAATTATAGGTAAAAATGATAATAACTTAGTATTTGATTATTTATAAACTCCGCTCATATATTTAGCAATACTTTCATTTGTCCATGTCTGATTTTAACCTTGAACTTTAATACTCTAAGCAAGTTTATTAAAGCAAGTTCGAAATATCAACAGGTTTCGTGATTGTCTTTTGTTTCTAAGCGGTTTTTATAGATTGCCAATCCCGGGCCTAATGCCAGCTGAGATTGGATGTGTCCACCCTCCCAGCCAGATGATTTATTGCGTGTGCATAAGAACCGACACTTGAATGATATAATTTTCCTTTCTCTGTGTCTTAGTGTGTGGGCAATTGCGATGAGTCAGCAAAGCGAAAAGTTTTCGATAACTTAAGGCAAACTTTTCGCTTTTGTTTGTTTTTGGCCATTGTGTCAATCTGACACTGGACTTTCGGAGGGTAGCCGAGGCAGCTGCAGTGCAAAAAAAAAACTAAGCGAAACTTTTTCTGCGACATTTCTAGGTTATGCGGGGGAGGAAAATCTGGAAAATCTGACGAATACCCAAGTCCTGTGGTAAATAGCACATTGGGTCAGGTCCGGAGCAGCCTTGATGTGACAAGTGAAAAAGTTATGAAACAGATTATGCAGTAGAGACCTTCCTTTTTTGTCACCTAAAAGATTTCGGACAGATTTATTTTATAAATTGATGTTTTTAGATTTAAGCTAAGGTGATAAAAGAATGTCTGTGTTTTATCGTATTTGTTTAAAGGGTAAACTATATTTCGCAGAGTATAAAGATGTAGCCTGATTAGTGAAGTAAAACATAAGAGGAAGTGTGGACTTAGTAGTTCACTATATGATAGAATTACCAGGTGAATAATAATTATAAAAACTATACAAACATATTCAAATAGTCATATATTAAATATGATCCTTTCTCTAATTATTTTTATATTGATTATAAATATAATATGATTCTTTCTCTTATTTTTTATTTATATTCTTTGAATACTCAATATTCTTTGGTTCAAGCTAGTGTATGTGGTTTGTATCATTGTCTTAGCCGAAGCCCTAATGTCAGAGCCACTTTAAAAAGTTAGCTTGATAGTTTGTAACTAAATTCTTTACTTAATTTTGGCCTTGTTGTAAGAGGGGAGATTGCGCCGGCTAATAAGATTTAACAAGTTATAAATAGGCAGGTCTTTGATATTTAAGTTGCGCGCCTTTAAGCTGCGCCTAAGTCTTTTGCTCAACCTACCACACACACACACACACACACTCGCACACTCACACAAACTAGTCGCACACACACTTGCTAACTCTCAAGGCAAGTGCTTAATAAAAGATTTCAAGTGCAAAGCAAAAACTTGAGTTAGCATCCCAAGTGTAAACAATGCTGCTGCTACCAACATTTTGCCTTGGATGTAGCGCAGTGTAAGCGACAAAAGTGCACAGCCGCAGAGAAAGAACGAGAGCGAGAGCGAGAGGCATGGCAAGGGGGGAGGGGGAGGAACAAGTGTTGTAAAACCTGAGACAGACAGAAAAACAAAAGACAGACAAAAGTTAATCACAGTCGTCATACACGTATGCCAAGGCACTTCAGCAGCTACAAAGGCGGGCAGGAGGAGGGGAGGGCGGCGGCGTTGGGAGCAGTTGCTGTCAAGTCGCAGTTGTCGTCAGTTGTTGCCGCGTGCAACGAGCGACAACATCGACAACTGCCGTGCCGCTTGCCACTGCAATTGAAGCGCCTATTGAAAGTGGTGCAGTGGTTTAGTGGTTGCAGCAGCAGGCGGTAAGGTAACAGTTGCAGCTTGTAGAATGTGGGTCATGTTCTAAATGCCGGCAGCTGATTTGACGTCAACATGTCTTTTGATGTAAATTGATGTAAATGATAAACTCGATTATCGCACTCAATTACCTGATCGTATTGCAGCATATTGTTGTTAATGTTTAATATATAGAATATTTATAGTTTTTTTTTGTTGCTGTATATTTTAGATTTTTGAATTTTGATAGAAAACACAATGCATTGCTTGGTTAAGAAATTAAATAAAATTGACACACACATACACACACACACACTCATGCCAAAACTCAATTAGCACGCACACATAGAGCCATGCAAAAAAGGAAGTCAATAAAAGCACCCACACAAACACACACAAGCTCACTTACTACACACACACACACACACACGCACACATTGGCGAAACTGCAAGCCATAAAATAGGCACACCCCAAAAAACCAGAAACTTTCTCTATGTAGATAGAAATGTGTTTCAAAATTTATTTTTATAACTCTGGCGCTTCGCTGATTACATTTTTGGTTGAACGCGCGCCCCAAACGCAGCCGCGAGTTGACCTTAAAAAATAAAGTTGACATGCAAAAACGCAGAAAATAATTCTGTCGAACGCACGATACACCAATACACACGCCTGTATATATGTATATATGTATATGTAGAGGATACTATGGCGCAGCGCGCGCATCAATTCATATTTTATTGTCAAGGGAACACAGCGAGCACCGAATGTTAAGCAGAGTGGTGAGGGGGGGGGGGCATGCACTGGCAAGAGGGGAGGGGCGGTGGTTGGCAAATGCGTTTTTGGGCACTTTTAGGACTTCGCTGTCGGTGTGCGAGTCGCGCTTAGACTAAATGAATTAATTAAATTTGGCTTTTACTTGGGCAAACATGACGCGCGCGACATGCAACACACAAAACGGCAACACACACGCACGCACGCACACACACGCACACGCACACACAGTACGCGCTACACTACGTTTGCCATTTCCGGCGCAGAAATGTATGCTACGCTTTTGAATTTGTGATAGATACTGAGTTGAGGCCAGGCACAGGCCAAAGCCAAACCAAAGCCATAGCCACAGCCACAGCCAAAAGCAGTTCTAACCGTTTTTATGGCAGCTTTGGCGCATGACCAAAACAAAGCGAACGCAACAGCGCCGAGCTTTAGTTTTATAGCAACAGGATGCAGGCAGAGAAATGCCCTGTGCTCGAGTCACCCTGTGCAAGTTGATAAACAAAAAGCGCCAGCAACAGGCGGCATGTTGAAGTACAACCACAACAACAAGAACAACACACACACACACGCACACACACCCGCACACTCACATGTATGTGGTGTATGCTTGTCTTCACACTTGACGACTGACAGCTGCCTCGAGGTGGCAGCGGCAGGGTGTCATGAGTTCGTCTATATTTAGACCAGGTTACCAGCACTACGCAGACAATTTGACAGCCTGTTAAACTGAAGCAGATTATCGAGATGGTGCAGCCAGATGCCAGCTGCCAGTCGACAATCGTGTCACTGGGTCGCTCAATAAGTATCTGAATAGAGAATTAACAAAGGGAAGTGAAAATCAAATCAGGGAAGAGACAATGATTTCATGAGAAGAGGCGAAGAAAAGGAGCTAAGTCAATGGATTATCAACTGCAAATAAATTATTAGAATAAAATAGGGTAACTTAAAAACTTAACTTAGACTATGTGTGAATGTGCTTTGAGGTTTTGTTTCTAATATATTATCATTTCGTTATACATACAGATTGGCATAATGTTAAGATTTTATTGTCCTTCGACCGATCTACACGAAATTCGCGCAGAGACTAAATCATCGAATGATGCTTCCAACCTGCATTCGCACTAATACAATAACAACTTCGAGCACACACATTAAATGGGAGTTCCGTTTTAAGTCTATCATTCAAAAGGCTCTCTGGATTCACATGGGATAATTTATTGGCGTGGTAGATATGTATCGCCCTTTCTCTTATGGCGTGCGAACAGGGGACAAATTAATATTAATATTTTTATAAATTAATATTAATATTTAAAAATGAATACAAAGGACATAATAATTTGCTCATGAAACGAGTTACATGTTAGAAGATATATAATCCACAAAATATGTATATATACTTGATCAGTATTAACAGTCGAATCGATATTCATGTCCGGCTGCCTATTTTAAACATCTTTCTAAATTATAAACCCAAAATGTTGCATTGGTCAGACATGTAAATGAAGGATAGGTCAAAGTTAAGTATTTCTATAAAACACTTTAAGCTTTTTAAAGATAACTTGAACAAACTTGGCTTTTACGTTTATTTAGCATAAGCATAAGCAGCGTTTCATATAGATATGTCAGAAGATATTCTTAAACCACCTCTCTCTGGACATTTCAGTGAAACTTATGTCAAGAGCTACTTCAGTCATTAAAACCATCTTAAATTGCTTTCTGTGTCGTAAATTTTAATATAAAATGTTTTGCAAACAAATCTCAACGATATATATATAATAGTATAGTATAATAGTATGGATTAAAGCTATAGGCACTGCGAGAACCGTGCCAATCACAAGGTCAAGTAGCGCAGGGCTTTGTCCAGAAAACGCTCCTCGGCCGAGCCCTGGGGGCAGGCAATGCCGCGTCGCGACTTCGATGACAATCGGTCATACTGATGCTTGATGGTGCTGTTGAGCAGATGATCACAGTCCTCGGAATGATGCACTGTCTCCGCCGAGGGCGCCTTGGCATATTCCCGCTTGAGGACCATGCTGATGATGCGGGAGCGTGTGGTGCGGTGCTTGGGCTTGCTAATGACCTGCGAGCGTGGACGCAGCGATGGTGTCGGCGATGAGGTGCCATAAATGCCCGACTCGGCTGAATCGGAGTCAAGTCCGGTGCTGGAGACGCCGGCGCAACTGCAGTAGGTGACACTGCTTCGGGGCGACTGACGAGCACTGCCATAGGCCTCGTCGTCACAGACATCATAGTCGGGTGCGCCCTTCTCGGGCACTGGCAGGGCATCACTGATCGCATAGGGTATACACTTGGCCTCCATATACATGAGGGGCTCATCCACAGCCTCCTCCGCGCTGGGCGTCGGACTGACGCTGCGCTCGTTCTCCAGCTCCGCAATGCGCGCCTCCTGCACCCGCTGCTTGCGCCGGTGCTGACGTCGCTCGTGGCGCTCCCGTTCGATGCGAGCTATTGTCTCCAGGCTCTCCATGAAGAGACCTAAGTCATGCTGGCCAAACCGAGCCGCGTCCAGGGTATATGTGGTGGACATCGCACCATAGCTGGCGGGATCCATGAAGTTCACGTACTGTGTGCAAGTGTAGGTAGCCATGATGATGTTTCACAAATATGCGAGAGAAACTTCGATGTGCGTTTGCTTTGAAGGCTGCTGTGCAACTGTTGACATTGGACAGACGCCGGGCTGTTTATATATCGCACACAGGTAGCTGATCGAATGCCGCACAGCCCACAGCCGGCCCACAGCCGCCCGTGTGTGAGAACAGGTAGGCGCGGTTAACCTTTGTGCGCCGCCCCCTCGCCCAAAATCGCTTTGTGCATTTTCTGGCTAAGTGCAAGCTGGCTAATTATGGCTGTGCCTGGGTTATTCCCTGATTGCTTTTTAATTTCGGCATTTCCAAAATTCTATAACGCCGTAGGGCACACGTGTTCGCCTATGACATAGAGGCCGGCGCTTTTATTGCCTCTCCTCACCAATTGCATTTGTCAGTTGGCACCTTTCGCATATTTCGAATTCCTGCATTCGCAGGTCGCCCATAAAACGAGTGCAAATCGTTGCAGACACCTGGCCAACATCTGCTGCGGCACATAGAATAGTTGGTGCATAACTGAATAGTTGTAGTTAAATCTAAATCAATATGTCGATTGGCAGCACAATTTGCACTTTTGCCCTAAGCCGACAGCAGCTGACAGAAGCACAGAACGCGAGCAAACAAATAATAATTGCCCTCGCTTGGTTTCAATTTCATATTCATATTTGGTTTATTTTTATTCATATTATTGCTGCAAGGATGCAGAACTATCCAGGTAAATTCGTTAAAAGCACGATTTCAATTTGCATTGCAACCTTTCCTCAAATGACAAGGTCAACCAATCTATAAATAATGCTGACAACAGTTTACATTGGCAGCACTAAAAATGAAGGCAGCAAATCAGTTCATTAACAAGTGATAAGATTACCTGGCCTTATCATTTATGGTCATAGAAAAGATAGCATATTGAAGCATAGATCGACTATTAGGTATTTACAAGCTTTATGAACACGTTTGCCATTAGAAAACCGAATAGCCGACGTTTTAATTTGAACTTTAATATAAACTGAGACTAAATAGCTTAAAAACTCGAAAGTTCAAGTAAGCACAGAGGTTAACTTCAAGTTTTGGTAAAGTAGATTTAATAGTTTATATAACCGAGATGCTATTGGGATAAGAAATAAAGCTGACATTCCGGCTGAAATGTTGTATATTTTCTTTTAAAGCTGTTTTATTTTTTATTCAGCTTTTGGATTCGACTAAAATAGATATTTCTATGAGTACGAATTTATCAATTTTTCAGGCCTTTAAAGCCTTATTGTTTTGATTGAACATAGTTAAGAAAATCTGAGACTTTAGAGCTTATATAATTTGGTTTTCATAAAGTGTAGAGTGGCAAAGAAGTTAGGCCTGCCTCAACAAGCTAGCCTGACTTATGTATATCGGCTAACTCTTAAGCTGGCGTTAGAGTTTTAAGCAAGAGATTAGCCGAACAAAAACGAAAATCAACAGATTATCTCTTGTTTTCGAGTAACCCACGAATACATCGTATGGCTTAAGGCAAAGCTGGCTTAACTTAATCTACCTGTAGATTTGGGTTCAAATTTCGGCTTACATCTGCCTCTTCAGTTTAAGCGCCGATCAAATTATTCGTAAAGTTGCAAAAGTGAAAACAGTTGATTTAAATAATTATTTGTATATGCTTATTAACCTGCTGACATCATTTAACTTGTTTAATACAACTAAACTCATCTCAGCTCGAGGAGAGTTTGATGAATTAGGTGCAAACAAAAGTTACTTGAAGGACACCGAAGACACACGCTGAGCTCTGATAGATGAGTGTCGCAAAGGCAGACGGGTTTCCGCGTGGTCAGCCAAAATAATATGCACGAATAGCCAAAATCAATGGAAGCCGAAAAGTGAGGAAATGGCTTCGAACTCGTCTAGACGACAGACAGACTGAGACGCGACAAATTGAAGGGCGCGTCCGTCGTTGAGTAATTAAACTCATATCTTTGTAACTTTTGGGAACGTCTGCAAATCTGGAGATGATTAAGTGCCTTTGTTTTGGCATTACAGCAGAAATGGCTGGGCAAGGAAATTAAGTTTGCAGCTGGCAGCTGCCCCGAACTCGAGCGAGATTCATTTGAAAAGGCAGCAGATGAAATGCACTCGAGAGATGAGAGGTCTCTCAAGGCTGGAGGGGGGCAGAGTGGGGACAACTGCGGGCATTTCTCGTAAAGCTGTTGCTGCTGAAAATCCATTGAACTTTCAATTAGGCACGTAGCTGCACAGAAATGGAGGGAGTGCAGGCACTTAACCCATTGATGCCGGTGCTTTAAACGAGCTGCAAATTGTTTTGAGCCACTTAACAGCTTTAATTAATTGCCTTATATTAATAAAACCGGGCCGAATTGATTTCGGCGATTTATAAACTGATTTAGAGTACAAACTTACGCGTTAAGTGTTCAGATAAAACGGGTTCTGAATATATAAACATATATTTTGATACGTACCTGCAACAAAAAGAGATGGAAAGAAAGCAAATTAGTTGAATTGTTTTTAGAATGCATCAAATTTATGTGGTAGCTATAGCGACTCGGACTGCACCCTACGGAAATATCAATTTACAAAAACATAAATGCCAATTGGCAAATGACAAGCCCAAGACGACAGACTACAAGCCACAGCCGTGAGGGGAGATGTTCCAGCTTGGGCTGGGGGCAGGGGTCAAAGAACAGCACGGACAGTGCCGACATTCATCGAGTCGTTTGTCGTCGTTGGAGTTGGGGTCTGATGGGAGCGAACAACAACCCAAACGAACAACCAAAACTTCAATTGCTTCACATTTGTTAAAGACAAAGCAAATCGTAAAGGGGACCGACAGAGGCGTACTGCTTAGGCCTGTCAAGCGGGGGTGCTTAAGCAAGAGCCCACAATCAGAGGGGAGAGGGAACATTGAATTTGACTCTTAAACCCAATGTGTTTAAGTGTGTATAAAGATAAAACTCTGTTGAGTGCTGATATAATAGAATATTTAGAGCTGTGAAAAGTCAAATTGTGTTAAGAGTGAGACAATTGAGAAAATATCTTTTAGGAGTTGATTTATGTATGTGATCAATTCTCAATTTCTGATGTATTTCATATTGATTAGCTTTACAGTAATCGAATAAAAAATAAAGTTTTCTGAGCGATTTGAACTATATTTTTCTTGAAACTATATATAAGTAGCTACAGAAAGTACTTCAATAAAGATATTAAAAATATCCCAAATATTATTTACTTTTATATATATAGTTAATCTCAGCCTGAGTCAAGCTGGCTTAAAGCCCATATTAGTTGAAACTTGTAAGCCAAAATATAAAGATATAAAAAATATCTCGAATATTATTTACTTTTATATTTATATAGTTAATCTTAAGCTGAATCAAGCTGGCTTTCCAGCAATGATCTTTCACTTCATACGAACTGAAGACGCCATCAACAAGAATTACAGCTCGTACCAGCTAAACGATAATAGGGTCAAAATAATAAAGGCAACAAAATGAAAACAAAACGCGGTTGCGTGCCGATCTTCATTCGAGCGATCTGGCTATTTATAGGGTCCATTGTAATAACTCCATCGTCAGCGGAAAGTGATCCATGGGCGGGCGCATTTAGAGTAGCGCACGCGGTGCCAGCATAAACTTCAAACAGATGTCAAGCCGCCGGTCGCGTAATTATTATTAATGTGCTGCTCCCTTCCAATTTCAGTTTCAATTCCCGACAATTTCCAAACCCAACCCAACCCAATTTCAGCCCAACAGTTTTCATGTGATCTCATCTAGCAAATATTCAAAGAGCTATGCGCCTCTGTTTTACATTAAAAATTATTGCCACAGATTTTTTACTTCATTCTTTCTCGCATGTTTGTTTTTTTTTTTTTTTTTGAACGAGGCGTTTACTCGGCCCGCGGGTTGTTGAACCTTCGGCCAACAACATGTGGGGCGGCGGTCTGCGATTTGCTGTGCTTTGCGTGTTCCCTCCCAAGTGCGTTCGCTGCAAATGAATGGCGTGCTTTGATAAATGGCACATGGCACCGTAGCCGTACCCGTAGCCGTACCCTTACCCATAACCCTACTAGTCGCCTTATATGGCTTTCTTTGGCCAAGCGGCTGCTACGCAAATTCATTGTCACAATTTGTGTTGTCCGACTTGAGCTTCGCTTTGAGCTGTTACTGAATTGCAGCAAGTCTTTCCATTGATAAATTGCACTCGAAAACCCACACACACTCAATCAGTTGAGAACCTCTCTGATAGCTACGCTTAAATTGCAACAATTTCGCGTTTCGAGGGGGCGTTTAACAAACAAACAACAACAGATTATGCAAATTGCAAATTAAAACTGACAATTTTGATGGAATTTCAAATTGATAGAACGACGAATGACGCGATATTTGTGAACAGTCAAGAAGATTAGCAAAAAATTTATATGCAAATAATTATTTATACTTTCATTTTATCTTTATTATATCACAAAAAAAAGTTTCCAATACGAAAAGACTTGTGCGGCTTCAGACCGAAAAGTTAGAGACACCAATGCCTTTGTTCGCCCTTCTTTGCGATTCTCACGAATTAAGTTAAGTTATACTTGCACTATTTATAAAGGAATTTAGTTAATATATTTTTATAGTATTAAGATTCTAACTCTCCTTGATCTCCTTTTCTCTCTCTTTTTTTCGTTTATTTATTAAAAATTTCTCTTTATTTGTTATTTGCGTTCATTCTCTCTGCCCAGATTCGCCAGACTCACGCTTTCCTCTTTCCCTCTCTCTACTATTCCGATTCTATTCCTTTCTTTGAAACTTATTTTCTAGCTGCTTTCATTTCCACTATTTTACGAAAAAATTAACAAAATCAGTCTGTTTAAAGTGCCTTAATTGACTAAATTGAAATCGCAATAAGTAGTATATATTATTTGTCATTATCGTAACTTTATCCGCATTTTTGACAGCGTGGATGTGCCAATTAACTCACATCTGTCAAATTTTAATAAGCTTTAAATTTGATTTAATTAAGCTGTGGTTATGGCAAATGGCAATCG